CAAGACATGAAGCGATGCATATTTATGTTTTTATTCTCCATGTGCTACATACAACAGAATTACAAATGAGTCATATGCAATGCATTTAAAATGCTATTAGGAACTTATGAAAATGCTTTTCAAATCGGGAATTGTTTCAACCTAACATAATTTTTGAAATTGCTATTCAAGTGTGTCCACAATTTCCGAAAATTGAATCTGTTTTCTATGAAAAATATCCGTTTTCAGTTTATTTCATCTAATTCCAAATATCGTTTTTCAACTTCTCGTTGGCATTCCACTCGAACTTGTTCACAAAAGCTGGCGAATTGCACCGATCTACTTGTTAGCTGTGACTCTTGGTATGATCGTTTGATAGCACAGATGATCAAATGCATTCATTATTTTCGTTTCTTGATCGAATGTTCAGATATTTCTCGAATGCATAGCTTCAAAACATGTTCAGTTGCGATGACTGTTCGAAGTGAGGTTGCATTTTGTGGATGTTACCATTTGCAGGTGCTTTGCTGCAGTACACTCTTGATCCATCCGTATACCTGATTGGATGTTCAGCCGGTGTCTACGCACTCATTACGGCGCATTTATCAAATCTTATCATTGTATGTTGCCACTAATATTGCTCTTTCAATCACTGCTCTCTTCAAACATGATATATGTCGTTTCCGATTGAATTTGCGCTTCTTTCATCGAATAATGACGGTAGATGTCTGTTGATAATAAATAATGAAAATGAGCCATGGTTAGAGATGAATTAAAATTGAAATTAATCGTATGATCTCGAGAGTAGACTGTTGCAGAACTGGTCTGAAATGCCGTTCCGAATACCGCGTTTGTTACTGATAGGTACTTACTTATCATTGGATATCGGATCAGCTGTGTATCGTCGTTTGCAAAGTGATCAGTGTGATCGAGTTTCTTATACGGCACATATTGCTGGAGCAATTACCGGCCTACTGATGGGAATTGTACTCCTTTACAATCTTAAGGTTCATTTTTTCGATGAATTATCGAATCTATATTCATTAAATCATGTTGCTGTTAGTTAGATAATTCGCAATTTTGATGGAATATTGCACAGACATTATTGCGATGACATGAATGTATTGAGTAATTTTGGTTCGAGAGCATTGCTGCTAGTTAACGGTTAGTTAACGCATTGTTCTATGAGAAGACATTGGTTTTGAAATTCTCAGAGGATAATGAAAGATATTGAAGGTACTGAAATGGGAACGTATCTTGCTGATCGCCAGTTTGACGACTTATGTTGTGATCTTCATTTTTGTGATAATTATGGTCATATTTGTTGAACCCTTCTCGAAACCACTTTGGGATTCAACGAAATGTCTCGGTGAAATTAACTGATATTACTTAATCAAGTGACTGAATTTGGAAAGTAATAAAATTGATGCTTCAAAACTGAAAGCATTCAATCTTTCAACCATGTGAAGGTTGTTACGAATGCATCTGAAATGTTCAGCTATGCATCTGATATTTTTCCTGAGAGTTCGTATTATCATTCCGTAAAACTGAATCATTTAACGACTTATCGTATCGTTTAAAAGTGGTTCGTAAACGATAAGCTCAGCAAGTCGAAATGTTGTCACAACAACACTCGTCGACACGATGAATCTGTTGTGGTACTACCTCGAATGTTAACTTTGAAAACGATCTAATGTGAAATAAGTCGGTGAAAATGGACGACTGTCAGGTTAGAAGTCGAAAGTTTATTAAAGTATCGCTCGGGAATCGACGAAAACAGTTTAATGCACAAAGGAACACACGATTACTGCTAAGCTCAGTGAAACAAATTGAAAGAGGAGTGAATACTTCAGGAGAGAAACGAGACAATTTACACGATATTATTCAAATAAAATCATTTTTGAAGGAGCAAGCAATAAATGAGCACAGCATGAATAAATTTGTGAGCAAATAAAAACGTGACATTTCGTTACAGATCATTTGATGAACATTTCAAAAACATATCATTTCATGAACATATCTCTCCTCGCCACCAAAATATTCAGAACGGGATATTTTTTGATGTACTTGACAGCTTTCTCGTGAGTTAACATTGTAAAATCATTTCCATTCACCTAAAAAATCGTTAGTAAACGATACTGAAACAGCTTGAGCAAACTTTAAAGGGAAATGTGAATTTAAAGCGAATCTCAAACTATATGAATAAGGACTGAAAAATCAGTGATTTGCTTGCAGTTTCAGCAGATGATGCTCATTTGAATTCCCACCGATCATTTTCAATATAAATTCAATTGCTCGGAAAGGCTCGAATAACCTTGTTCAANCCAATTCAGTATTCAAATTCAATGACTCAAACTTCGAATTCCAATTCAGAATACTACCAATTTCACCGAGTGACATTCCCATTCAATCTCGGGGTTCTTATTTGAATACAACACAGAACGTATTCATCAATTCGAAAAAGCTCCTAGAGAGAGGATTCCTTCTCGTCTCGAACAGACCATACAAAAACAATCATTGATTGACGTCTCCGAAACGCCTCAATGGTAAAATTCTAAACGAAAACGAAATAAACGACTAGAAACACTCACCCTAAGAATTTTATCGTGTTGCCTCAATCCGGCCCTCTCGGCAGGTGAGTCTGGTTCAATGTGCGTTATATAGATACCCTAGAGAATGTTCTACATTAGCCGTTGGATAAATTTTTTTTTTGAATGACAAATGTGAACGTCATTCGAAAACGACTTTATGGCGATATAATAATGAAAACAGTTTCGGTAATCTTCTTCGAATGTATTAATGAGAGTGGTTGTTAACTATACCGTATCTGGATAGTGAACTTGTGCGCGACTTGGATCTTGATCGATACCTCCGCCAATCTTGAAACCAACGCGAAGAACCTATAAGTATCAATTTGGACATTCAAAAACGAGCAAGCAAATCAGTGCATGGCAATAAAACGATAGCAGCAGTCAGTCCATCAATGAGCATCAAACACGATCGAATGAACATCAAGCAATACGAACCTGCTGGCCATTTGCATCCGTGAACTGTTCTTTGCGCAATTCAACAGCGATACTCAAGCATTCAATTGGTTCACCAGCATGATGACCATACGCGTTACTCTAAATCACTCATAATCACAAACTTTAGATGACCATATAAAAGTATACAACAAAATTTCTTCTATTTCATCCGTATTCTATTAATATTTCATCATCTATACAACAAATACAGCCCTTCAACCCAATCAGTTCAAATTCTTTTGAGAAGCAGTATTGTGATGAGCAATATTCGTTAACTAGTCGAGGGTTTAAGCCATGAACTGCTTCATCAACATCAAAAAATAGTGACAAATCATAAGCAAGATCTCAAGAAACCATATCTTCTCAAAGAACACAGGCTGAATGAA